TTCTCTCATTCATCACACAAACAACATTAACCAAGCAACATAGCCTCAGGTCAGCTACCTACAAGCCTCCTCAACACCGCTAGCCTAGAGATTAAAGTAAGGTAAATGGTTTTCTCAAATCCTCTAACCTATTTTCTTGCTAGGGTTGTAAACCCATGAAGATTAACCGTTAAACTTCTTGTAATTTGAAAGATAAAAGAGGTGGAGTGGTTACCCTTAAAACCCTTGAAGAAAACCAGATTTTTTGCTGAAATTTCCTCCAAGAAATTCCACAAGATTGCTTCTTACTCCAAGCTAGGATGAATCTCCAAGAAACTAGAAAGTTGGATGAAAATTTGCAAGTGAATTGGAGCCAAAGTAATGGAGTTTTCCTTCTTCCTTTTTCCTCTTGGTTGGTTGGCTGAATGAGGTGAGAGAGATGAGGGTTTTGTGTGATAAAGAGAAAGAATGGAAAAATCTACTTTAAGATGGTGCACAAAAGTCAATTCTTAATAGTGCAAAATAGGGTTTCGTACTACCATTTTCTCTCGGGTTTGATATACTCATGCACTAATCCTCCAAGGTACTTCCTCTAACATTGTAATTACTCATACTTACGAGTCTAGTATTAAATTCTCAAATCTCCAATTAGTCGCATGGTGCGACTTTCGAGAAACTTTCGACACGCGCGCGATAAAAGCTTAATATTACTCACTCACATCTAATCTCTCAATTAACTTTTCTTAATCTACAATTGAGCATTCTTAATCCTCTAAAATTATTGCACCCTTGGATCGAATATTGTCTCAAAAAACGTGTATTCGCTATTCCTTACTAGACGAGCAGCAGAAAAATTAAATTGCTAGTGAGACGTTTTAAAAAAATAAATGAGACATGGTTCCATATAAATGGATTTAAAATGGTTGAAATAAATTATTCGGAATAAACGGGTGAATAAATAATTAAATAAGTCAGTAAAATAGAATTAAAGTAGGAAAAAATCAGGTCGTCACAGAGAAGCCCCATGGTGTGGATATTTTTGAAACAAATCTATAAACTTTTCCCATGCTTCATATAATGATTCACCATCCAATTGACTAAAAGTAGTAATATCCATTCTAAATTTAGCCGTTTTGCCCGGTGAAAAATAATTATTAAAAAATACTCTAGACAAATTATCCCAAATAGTGAAAGTTTTAGGGGCATGAGAATGTAACCAAATTTTAACCTTATCCCTCAATGAAAATGGGAACAACCTTAACTTTATAGCATCCTCACTAACTCTATTCATTTTGATTGTATCATATATCTCAAAAAATGTGGCTAAGTGTGCATTTGAATCCTCTACAGCATTATCTCCAAATTGATATTGTTGCACTATTTGGATTAATGATGGTTTAATCTCAAAATTATTAGCATTTACCGTCGATCATCCTATACTTGTTTAAGATCCTTGGATTCTCTGTAGAGCAAAATCCCTAAGAGCTCGCCTATTTGCTTCTATTTTCACGATTTCAACTTCAAAAGGTAGCTCTATCGCGAGTCTCTCTATTTGTTGTCAAACCTTTTCTTCTTATTGTTGTGGTGTACGCCTTCTTTGTATACATAGTGCCTTTTGAATTTTCGGATCAAAAGGTGTGACTATCCGTAAAATCCGGTGCATACACTACAAACAAAAATAAAAGAGGTTATGTAGTAATTAATTCACAAAAACTAATAAAAATTCTAACTTAACTAGAAGCAATGTTTAACTAATTAGTATAGAGAATGTCTAAATTAATAAACCTTGTTAGGCCCTAATATTGCCGCTCCCCGGCAACGATGCCAAAAATTTGACGGGTTTTTGATATAAGTACAAGTTTAATTCCGAATTACACCTATTTTTCTGCAAGCATACAGGTCAAACTTGTAATTTATGATATATATCGGGTCGATCCTACAGCAAGCAACTTTGCAAGTACTAGGTCCTTATTTACTCAATTATTTAGACTAATAATCAACCTAAGCAAGAGAAGTTATAATTACTACTAGCTAACTAGTCTTAACTAGATATTTGCAAGGTAACAATGGAAAAAATTCACTAAATACTTGAATCTAGTAATATAGATTCTACTTATGGCATCAAAGATACAAATAAATATATTTACCTCTCGTTACAACTCTTGTTTAATTAGGGATTCATTTCCAATATTACCAAATCTCATTCTCATGATAAAATGGCCTAATATAGATTAGTTTTCCCTATTCTCATGATGAATAACTAAATCTACTCTTGTTTCTTTCATGAAATACAAGTTTAATCCACTTAAGCATATCTCTATTCTAATGAGAATACTACTCAAGTTCTATTTTTGTTGTTTCGTCATTATTTCCAACTTTTATTGAATATAACAACTAAAAACTTGCTACTGGTGATCAAGCAGCACAAGTTATAAGCACTAACACAAGTTATAAGCATGCATAAATAGACAAGTTAATACAAGGTGTAATAAGTATAAATCATATTCAGTTCATATGAAGTAGTCATAAGTTTCATCTACTCCCTAGATCTAAAAATTTAGCTACTCATATAATATATGACAAGAAAGAACATTGCTTCATTGCATGAACAAACATTGAATCACACGTAAAAGATAGATAAAGAAATCTTAGCCAAGATTAGTGAAGAACCTCCCAATGATCTTCTATATCTTCAACAAATGAGTTGTACAATGAAGTCTCCACTTATTCTCACAAAAGTTTAAGCTAGAGAGAACAAAACAAGACTAACCACTAAGTTCTAATGTTAAAATCTGATCATAATTACTTCTAAAAATGTCCTATTCTCCCTTTTTAATGATTCTTACATCCCTTGTGTTAAGAGAGTCAAAAAATGGTTTTTGGACAAGACATAAAACTCCTTTTTTCTTTTAAAAAGTCCCTTGAACATGTGCAGACTAAATTCTTGTCTGGAGTAGAGTTGGAAAGTAGTGTGAAAATAGAGCAAATGGCTGAGCAAGTTGCAAAAATCAGGTGAGAATACGCGACCTTAGAATACACGACTTCAAGCTCACATATTCAAGGGTCGTGTATTCACTTCTGTGAATTTGGTATCACTTCATCTGCTATTTTCTCAATGATGGATATGGAACTAGCTCTTTTACAAACCATGAAAGTTGTAGCTCTTTGAGTTAGCTTTCCAATGCTTTAAAAATCATCCAATTTAGAGATCTGTGGTCTAAGAAATGACCAAAACACCCTCAACTGGTCAGAGCTCTATTTTAGCTTTTGACCATGCACATGTACTTCTGTATTTTGACTTTTTGACAAGGAAAACAACTGAACTGCATTTTGATGTCTTCATACCAAATGTATATATATCTCTTACCTTCAAAATGGTATAAGAATCACCTCAATCCGAGACTTGTAGCTCAAGATATAGCCAAAATAATATAAGGTGTCAAAACTGTCTTCACTTGCATTTTTTCCTTTGAATGTTTTGCACTTCATGTCTTCTTTAAACCACTTTAAATCATCAATAATCATCCAATTCTCTTCTTAATTCATGCCATTTGATGATTGAATTATTAAACCTACAAAAACATGAAGTTTTCACTATTAAAATCCATCGAAATGTAATTTTTACTACTTAAACCATAAAATGTATATTTTCACTAAAATTGTAGTTAATTAGCACTAAAACTAAATAAAACACATTAAAACTAATCAATAAAACACGTTAAATATACTCTTATCAGCTTGATCACCATTTACAAGCCATTTTAGTTGTTGTTATAAAAATTATTGACAATAATGGAATATGAATGAACGGAACCTAAGGAGTAGACATACGAAAGCAGTGGTGCACTTAGGTAGATGTTTATGACATTTCCTGTGCTTGATCTAGTTTATATTTGAGATTTCACCACGAAAGTAGGGAAACTCTAGTGTAGGCTAAGTTCGGTTCATTGGATAAAGCAAGTTTCGATGGTTTGAGTGGAATGCATCCTTAGCAAGACTAAAGCACGAGTGATAGTTAGCTAATTCATCCATAATTAGGTACATTTAGTGGATTCTATACCCTATAACACTTGTGTTTAGTTGAGCTATTTCGAGTTGTTAATTTGCATTGCATTACTTTGGCATTTTATCTGATTAAACTAGTTAAAATTCTTGATAAGTTTAGATAATAGAGTGAACTAAAAACCTTGGTAGTTGAAGGTGATTCCCTATGGGATCGATCCTAATTCCCTAGTACTACTAACTACGATCTATATACTTGCAGTAAATGAGGGATTTATGCTAAAATTTAGAGTGTAGGTATAAGCCTCTACAAGTTTTTGCCGCCGTTTTCGGGGAATCATGGCAATATTAAGACTAAGTGAGTTTCATTAATCTAAACATTGTGTTATAATGTAAATATCTGTTAGTTAGTGGGTAGAGTAGCTTGTTTATTTGTTTTGTTTAGCTTGTTTAGTTGTGGTACAATTTTCTTCATTTTGGTCTTTGTAGTGCATACACCATGCGCATGCACAACGGTTCCTTTGGATCCAGAAATTGAAAGAACTCTAAGGCGACAACAAAGGCAAGTACTACAAGAAACTATGAAGATTCCGGGAGAAGGTGAAATAACAATTGAACTTCCATCAATTGAACCTATGGCTGAAGAATTGGATAGAAGAGCATTACGGGACTTTGCATTGCCTGGAGGCGATGGTTTACAAACAAGCATTGTGAGACCTACAATAAATGCTAATAATTTTGAAATTAAACCATCTCTTATGCAAATGGTGCAATAATCTCAATATGGAGGTAATGCTACTGAAGATCCAAATTTTCATTTGTCCACATTCCTAGAAATTTGTGATACAATAAAGTTTAACGGTGTTAGTGATGATGCAATTAAGTTTAGATTGTTTCCATTCTCACTAAGAGACAAGGCCAAGGTCTAGTTACAATCTCATTCTCCTAATACTTTTACCACCTGAGCAGATTTATCTAAAACTTTTCTTAATATGTTCTTTCCACCTGGCAAAACTGCTAAACTTTGCATCGATATACCGAGTTTCTGTCAACAGGAAGGAGAGACATTGTACGAAGCTTGGGAGCGTTATCAGGAGTTACAATGAAGATTTCGTCACCATGGTTTACCTAATTGGCTCATAGTACAAATATTTTACAATGGACTCACCTATCCGACGAAGACTCATGTAGATGCAGCAGTGGGAAGTGCTTTGATGGGTAAGTCGGCCAAAGAAACTCAACAACTGCTTGACAAAATGGCTGCTAACAATTATCAATGGGCAAACGCAGGTATGTTTGAAGTAGATACATTGAACATGTTAAAGTGCCAAAATGGATAATGTGGTTAAGATGCTTAATAGGCAAGTTAGTTTTAGTTCTAATCAAGGAGTAAATGTTGCATGTTGTACTATATGTAGAGGTGATCATGATGTATCAATTTGTGCAAGCACTGTGCAGGTTCAATTTGTGAACAATTACATCCGTCCGCCCCAAAATAACCCATGCTCCAATGCTTACAATCTGGGGTGGCGGAATCATCCAAACTTTGGATGGTAAGAACAAGGGAGCCAACAAAAGCCTTTGAATCCACCGGGCTTTCAAAATAAACAACCACCTGTGGAGACTAAACCTGCTTGAAAAATGGTTATAGAGAAACTAGCTAGTACAACTACTGGCAACATAGACCGGTTAAATAAAACCACTTCTAAGAGATTTGAGAGAGTAGAAGGGAGATTGGACCAACTTACAACCCTGTATAGGAATATAGAGGTCCAAATTGGCCAAATTACTAACTCTTTAAATCCTAGGAATCTAGGAGAGTTACCTAGTAAACCCGAGATCAATCCTAGAGAGCAAGTTAATGCCATTACCCTTAAAAGTGAGAAACAATTGAAGGAGCCTAACTTTGATGTGTCTTGTGAAAATAAGGAAGAGAAAAAGAGTGAAGAAAGATTATGTACTGATTGATATGGATTTGTCAATTCCTAATGTTGCTCCTAACGTTAATACTAATTATTCTATTCCTTTTCCGCACAGGCTCAAGCGAAAAGCAAGAAAGGGAGTTTGATAAGTTCTTTAAGATTTCAAGCAACTACATATTAATATTCCTCTCCTTGATACTATTGTGCAAATTCCTTCCTACGCTCAATTCTTGAAGGATATCATGTCCAAGAAAAGGAAGCTTGTGGATAATGAGATAATCATATTAATAGAGGAATGTAGTGCAGTCATTCAAAACAAACTCCCTCTCAAACTAAACAACCCTAATAGTTTTTCTATACCTTGCACTATAGGTAATATTGAGTTTTCAAATGCTTTATGCGATTTAGGTTTAAGTGTATCTTTGATTCCTTTATCTATTGCTAGAAAGTTGTGATTAATTGAATTAAAGGCTACCAACATTACATTGCAGTTGACGGATAGGACAATCAAGTATCTTATAGAAGTGTTAGAAAATGTGCTCATGAAAATTGAAAAACTTATTATACCTGTAGATTTTGTTGTCCTAGATATGGAGGAAGATATGAACATGCCTATACTATTAGGTAGACCATTTCTTGCCACTGTCGATACTTTAATTGATGTACAGAAAGGTAAGCTTTTATTTGGAGTGAATGGTGAAACTATAGTTTTTAATTTGTCCAATGGCACTCTACTAACTCTAGTTCTGAGGATTCACAAGTTGCCATGGTTACTGATGAGATGGAGAAAAAGGAAGAAAAAGTACCTCCTACCATCATGAGGAGCATGATCAAGACATAAAGGGATCAACGGGAGCCATTTCGATCAATAAAGTTGAGTATTTTTCTTCATTTCATAGTGGGATAGGTGATTCACTAAGTGAGTTTGAAAATGGTTAGTATTCCCAGCCATATATTGTTGATAAGCAATATTTTGATCAAACTAATAATCATCCTAGGCATTTGGAGTTGTTAGATACAGGGGAGGAATGTCGTGCTCATCACAATGAAGGATGTGACGGCCCCACTTCTCCCAAGGATTAACCCCAGGGTATCGGCGGGTCGCCTACCCAACTCTCGTCGGGACTCACTCACTTCCTACAGTTCTCAAATGAATTACAAGATAAATCTCAAATATTACATTCAATTCTCCAAGAATTACATATCACGAGTACCAGAAAGTAAACCCTAGAAAAGCTGATAACTACAACCACCACGACAACTATATACATCTTACTAGTCAACTTATAACAAGTATAAAGTCAACTATTTTATAACCAAAAGTCTATACACCTTCCCGACCGACCCTTGCGTCGGCCCCCTACTAAGGAAAACAAATGGAACGGGGTAAGCTATATGCTTAGTGAATAATTACGGTAAAACGTAAAAGCACATTCAGATAAACATGCAAATCCAAATATTTCACATCAATACAAAATTGTAATATCACAATGGTAGGATACGGGTGGCTCCAAAACCAGTTCAATTCCCCGAGCTTGAACACCTGTTGACACTCCGTCAATCAAAGTACTCATGGTCCGTAGACTCCACTTAACTTTCCCCATTCACCTTATCAACCCCCGCTGGCCAGTCAACAGCACACAGCAGCTCGAGCGAAACAAGAACTTAGCTTTCATCAAAACTTTAACAAAGAACTAAATCCCAAGGTTAGCATGGAACTATTTTCGACCAAACCCTGCCTGGCTCGAATAGTTCGTCTATCCTTGGAACCGGGTTCAAACCAAGCCCTGAGATATCCGATCTCTCAATAGATGGTATTTCTCAACAAAGTACACAATAAAGTACTTACCCCAAATAGGGTTCAATTCAAGTCACGTAATCATCCCCATCAGCACACAGCAAAAGGGTGTTACTCAGCACAAAACATGTATTCTCACATTTTAAATCAAAACAAAGGATGGGCTTAGGTCGAGTGAGATAAAGTATGTGAGGACTTACAAATTCTTTATATATTTCTTGAAAATTTCCTTTTATTTGAAAATTATTTGGAAAATATTATTCTATACCATCTTACTAATCAATCACCCTAGAAAAATGCCAATGATCATAGGAAATTAGGGTTTTCCTTTTCGATTTCAAATCAAAGTGAAATAGGGTTTTTCGTGTATCCGTAGTGTAATTATCCGGTACGGAGCGAGGATCAAATTTGGTGCTTAAGAGTGACTTTTAGGTGAGAAATAATATGTGATTAGAAGCAATGATATAAAGTTAGTGAATATGAAGAAAAAAACCCTAGTACGTGTGATTTAAGAAAATCGACCCGAACCGACGGGTATCGTTTGTTACCAAGTGAGTACACCACTTGACCACCACTTTATTACCTTAATCTCCTTGTTTTAGTTGAGTTAATTAGCTCTTAATTAACCCTTAAGCCAGCCACCATTATTGACTAAGGAAAAGAGAGATTTTTTGGTAGACATATTTGGGATTAAGCCATGTGTCACAAATCCAACCAAGGTCTTGACCAAGACCTTTGACCAAGACATTTTCCTTCCTTTTTATCTTCTTCTTGGCTCCATTTTCTTCCATTTTTCTTGAGCTTGGCCGAAATTTTAGGGGAGGGAAAAAACAAGAGAGAAACCTTCAACTTGTGCTTGAATCTTGAGTTCCAATCAAAGTTTGTAGGGTTAAATACCAAAAACCCCCCTGTGGTTTGCCTAATGTTCACTTTACCTCCCTATGGTTTGGAAACCTACAATTTGACTCCCTGTCGTTTCAACTAAAGTGTATTTAACGGAATTTCTGTTAGATTTTCACTTTAGGTGAAACGATAGGGAGTTAAATTGTATATTTTCAAACCATAGGGAGGTAAAGTGTACATTTGACAAACCACAGGGGGGTTTTTGGTACTTAACCCAAAACCCTTATAGAGGGGCAATTTTGACATTTTCCTTTCAGATGTTAGTTTAGATGTTTTCTGTTAGACTTTTACTTTAGTTGAAACGACAGGGAGTCATATTATAGGTTTCCAAACCATAGGGAGGTAAAGTGAACATTAGGCAAACCACAGGGGGATTTTTGGTATTTAACCCAAGTTTGTACCAATTACTCCATAAAACTTGCTCACTAAGGAGATTTAAAGGCTTTGGTGGAGTAATTTTAGAGAGTAAAACTCTACGCTACCATCGTTATTGAGGTATTGGCTGTCCCTTATCTTTGGTGCTTTTATTCTTGCTCAAGTTGCTATACAACTCAAGTTTTGATTAAATTGGTAACTATGCAAGTAGTTGTGATGATTTTGGGTGAATTAGTAAGGTAGGGTTTTGTGTTGTTCAGCCATGTTTCTTCTTGTGTGGATGGTATATAGTGTATACAAGCTTGTCTAGGAGGTTGAGGTGGTGAATCAAGCCAAAAATAAGAAGATTAGCATTGGAGTGCATGGATTTCTTAAAATTCCAGAAATGAAATTTATGACTGCTTGGTTCTGCCCGGTTCTGTTACCCATAGTTAGAGGTCGAATTGGCCTTAGTACAAAACATGAAAGTTGTAGATAATTATATTTTATAATAGCCTGCAAAATTTCAGCTCAATCGGAGCAACGTATCCTGTGAAAATACTGAAATACCCTTGCTGCCCTGTTTCTATCCGAACATACTACTCAGCTTCTGTAATTGGTTGTTTTGACCAGGAATACTACTGATTTGGCTGTCAATGTCTTCTTAAGACTTATAGCCTTGTATCTTAGCTTTCATATGGCTTTAGAATCACTTGAATTGGAGTTGAAGGTGTTGAGATATGACCGAATAAGTCAGGACTGCCGCAGTACACTTTGACCTGGAAAATCTGGAGTTGTTTTGGTATATTTAACCTAGTTAGGGTGAGAACTTGACTGAGTGGTCTTTATCAAAATTGTAACCCTCTGTCTTAGCTTCAAAACGGTATAAATTACATTCCAATCCGATAAGCGTAGCGTCGGATGTGTTCGTTACACAAAACCCGTCAAATCTGTCTTTTGTTAAGTTTCATTTCCGCATTTGTTATTAGCTCGATTTCTAAACTTGTATTGTTTTGAGCCTATGGAACGGCTATTGAAATGAATTTGTGTTGTGGGTAACCTTGGTTTGATTGAGAAAAAGATTGAAGCCATAAATGGCTGGAAATAGGAAAATACAAAGGGCGTGCTGCCCAAATTTTCGCTCGAGGG